AAAGACACATCCAGTCAGATAACCTTTACATACACTTAAATCCGTATAACAGATAACATGGTCCAGGAGACATCACTTAGAGGGCCCATAGTGTTCACGTGGCAGAACCAGATGGAAGCTGGCGCAGCAGGGAGATCTGACAAATCGGACACTGTTTTCAAGAGCAACTGTCATTCTCCAGCCTAATGTCAAAAGTCTCAGACTCTCTTTACTCTCGACTTGATGATCAACACACCAAAACATAAACAGTAGTTGCCTTTGAGTGCAAAAACTCTGCACTTGGGCAGATTTTGTTCTATCTGGGGTTGGGGGCGTTTGAGGAAAAACAAAGAAAAAACGGGGGGAGATCATCCCACTAATGGGCAAGCCTCAGAGCCAGGTCCGGGAACAGGCCTCCGACGTCCTGGGGACTCCCCAGGCATCAGGAGCCTAAAGGCCCCCGGCCTCGTTCGCTTTGCAGGCTCCTACCAGCCGTATGCATTTATTTAGTTTGGAAAAGCTAAAGGTTTCCATGACAGAGTTTTCTATGAGAAATCTAATTGGACAGAAAATTAGGACCCTCTGACCATAGGCAACTTCCATTTAGCTCTAGAGTCTTGAAAATGAACTACTACTCGTTTTCAAACCTCGACTGTAGCAAATCTTCTAGAAAATCCCAATATTCAGAGCAGATCAAAGCAGAACTGGCAGCGATCCTGGGTCTCATGTCCCTGCCTGCCCACCCCGGACCCACCACGCTCAGGGCCCCAAGCCCAGGACTCCCCAAAGCAGTTTGAGAATGGCTAGTCTCGAATCGGGAAGTGTGGAGCCACTGTTGGGGAGCAAGCCTTTCAAAACTCAAGTTTGGGGCTCAAAACGTCTCGTATACATTTAAAGGTTTTCTCAGTATGACTTTTCCTCCCTCTGTCCCCACCTCTTTTCCTCTTACGAGTACAGAAACTGCATGCTTGACCCATGTCATCATGTCAAAATAGTCATGACCCTACTCAAGTCAGGAAAGGGGGGAAAGTAGGGGCTGGCTCCTCAGGTAGGGCGGGGTGGGGGCGGGGACACCCCCAGTGGTAGGCCCATAGCAGATGGCAGGCCAGAGGGAAGAGAGGACATCATTTCATTCCTGATGGCTCACGAACGCCAGCATGAATTACCCATTCCTTTCGACTCCTCTAGCAGGGTGTTTTTTTTTAGCTCTGGTGGTAGAATTAATTCCCTCTCCCTACAAGACTGTGATCTCCTCGAGGGTAGGGCCCTCTTGCCCACCACTCTCTCAGCAGTGCCTTGTCCTGTACCTGGCCACTCACTGTGGGTGTTTGGAAAATGCTGGCTGAATCAGTAAGGTGGCCACTAGGTCGTGGCTATGAGTCCTTTGGTGTTTTAGGCAACTTGGTCTTGCCTGCTACCTTGGGGCTTGGATGACAAGGGCTGGTAACTGGTTCTGGCTTGTAACTTTGGTCTGTTTTTAACACTTGAGAACCTTACGAAGGACGGTGTTGTTAGAAAGCAATACGAATTAGCTTCTGAGTGTAACCACGATTCCTAGGATGACAGATGTGGCATAGCTTCATTCGTCCTACACCAAGCATGCTCAGAGCTCAGTGTCAGCTGGTCACCGCTGGACATACGGCAAATGACTTGGGTGCTGTTTCAGGTGCTTCTCCAGAAGCCGTATTTTATGGAAGTGAGCCTCTCGGAGCCATGTTAACCCTGATCTCTTTCAAAGCCCTCCCTCGTCCCTTGGGTGCCAATGTGCTCATCAACACAGTACAAAAGCACTTTCCCCTTTTTGTTGAAAAAAGTTAAAAACATGATGTCTTCTTCTACTGTATTAGGAATAGCTCTACGCTGATAAAATGCCATATTTAAGAAAATTCTGTATCAATCAATACAAGTACCAGATAAACGTTTTCTTTCATAAAGACATTCTTTGGAAGGGAGTTTCTTTAGACAGTCCCTGAGGGTGCCATCTGGGATGTTGTCAGGAAATGAATGAAGAGCAGAAGGAAGTGTGTTCGGGAGCCCTGAGTGTAAATAAAGGCCTTGGTCGGGTCTGCAGCAGTCGAGCTTCCTCAGGCAGTAGGAACTTAAGATGCCTGGCTGTAATTCTTTATGTCAAAGTCAGCTCCTGGCTTCCTTTAGCTTCCTTAGCTCAGTTCACTGAGCAGCTTAAAGAGTTTGGAATGAGTGCCTTCCTTAGGATTTGTGTTGCAGTACAAGCGGAAAAGAAGATTCAAGTGGTCAGACCTGCAATTTATTGAAACCTACTGACTCTGACGGGCATGGGTGAAAACGCCTAAGTGAATTCAAACGCACAGTTTCGTTGAGCTCAAAGTAGATCAGCACCGAAGCCGGTGGCTGTGTGCACGTAATGAGCTAGAATGGCCAACAAAATACTAGCGTAAAGCAGGGACTGGCAGACTTTGTCTCTCAAGGCCAGAGAGGAAATATTTGAGGCTTCGCAGGCCACGCTGTCTCTGGGGCGACTGTTCAGCTCTGCCACTGTAGTAAGAAATAGCCGCAAACAGTATGTAAATGGATGGGTGCAGCTCTGTTCCAATAAAACTTTATTTACAAGGCCAGGTTGTGGCCCAGATCTGACCCATGGACTGTAGTTTGCTGGCCCCGGGTGTCAAGGGGCGAGAGCTCAAATCCTCCCTTCATGGAAGCAGAGGAAACACAATGGTTCCAGAAGGGGGGCCAGTGATGCTTCTGCCCTGGTTCTTGCTCTTCCACTAAAGAACCGCAGATGAGACTGGAATTTTATAGGATGGCAGGTTTTGCAGAGCTGTCGGGCTGGTAATTTAGAGGCGTGTAATAGAATGTACACGGGCTTATTTGGAAGGGGGTGGTAAGAGAGGGAGAGGCTGGTATGGGCCGCAGGGGATAGCATGAATATGGCATAGGTCAGCAGGTAAGATTATACAGGCAGCAGAAATCCCTGCATCGCATTGCTAAGTGCCTTCTGAATTGTCTTACTGCACTAAGAGCTTGTGCTGGGTCCTAGCATTCATTAATCTATGTACAGTGGCACCTCATTTTGAGAGCCCAATACCATACTGCTGACTAGGGAAGCATTTCTTTCACGAATGTGCATGCATATCAAAATCCCTTTGTTAGACTGCTAAATGATCAGGGATGTATGGACGAACCACTTACAGAGTTTATTTTAAAATGATGTTTATGGTTCATTCTACCCGTGTAGGGTGCCTACAGAATAATGGTGGAGATTTAGAAAGTGTGTTACAGTAGATAATGCTTTTTATTACTTCTACGTATACTTATAGGCAGATGGACAAATTACAGCTAGATAAATAGATTAGATAGAAATTGGCTAATATTCCATGTTTAATATACACCGAGCCACTCAAATCTTCCAAGTGGCTGTGAACAGCTAACTACATCTAGAGATTAGTCAGGCAAGATATAATCACAAAGCTAAATGCGCAACCATTCACACCCTGAACACCCCGCAGTTTATAGTGGCTATTATGCGGGACAGTTTTGCCATCAGCTTATCACTACATGGAGAAGTTGGAGAACAGTTTAGTAAGGCCATCGAGATAAGATCAGGAGGCTAATTTAACTTGCTGAATGGCCACGAACCAGGCGCTTGACTTCTTTGGGCCTGCAGGTGCTTTTAAGGAAAATGAAAGGGGAAGGGGAGCTGACACCTTAAGACTTGAGCACTGCGTCAGAACTGCGGCAGGGGGTAGCAAAGAAATTGTAAACCGAAATTACACAATAACTCCCCTATCTACAGACTTTATACTTATGGAAAACATAGTATCTTTATAAAAAACCGTATTTTCCTCTGTGGGCAATTATCTAGCAGGGTTAAGTAAACCATGAGGTGGTATTTAAGAGCACATTTCCACTAAATGTCAGACCTCTGGCTCAGACATCTGTTCTGAGTTACTCAAACAGCTGTTCAAAACAGCTGCAGTACCCGTGAACTTCATTTTTTGTAACACAACAACGGGAACATGGATGGCAGACTCAGAATAAAAGGACAATGTCCTCCAAGACATTAGCAAGGTCTTGGCAGAAACTTCTAAAATTTAACTTAAAACAAAACAAAAAAAACCCACCTGCGTGAGGAAAACTGAGATTGGTTAGATCAGTAGTTTTAAACCACTGGATCAGAAAATCTATTTAGTGGGTTGCAGCCAGCAGTTTATTTTTTAATAAGTAACACAGAGGAATAGTGCGAATTACAGGCAGCAGGGAAAGAACTGCTTCTTGAAAGTTTTGCTTCTGATCTTCGTATATGCAAGGTGGGGCAAAAGTAGGTTTATAGTTGTTCGTATGGAAAATAATACAATAATTAATAAAACTCAAGAATAAACTGTTTTGCATACTCACAACTGCCAACCTACCTTTGCCCCACCCAGTATATGTGACTATATACATTATGTGTGGAGCATATATATATATATATGTATGTGTGTATGTAGTGGGTATATACACGTGTGTATATACATATACATAATTTATATCTTTACCCCATTTTGAGATGTAAAATGTTTCTCTTGCTATGGATAATGATCGAAAAAGGTCAAAAGCCACTGTTTTGGACATCAAAGATGCTCAAGTAACCTTTCGAGGCCCTCTCGAGAGTCTATAATCCCGAGAACATAGGACTCTCAGGATTTTTTGCTTAACATCAGCCTAACATACCTACTAACTGGTAAGATGTTCCCATTAAACCCTGCCATGTACTTATATTTTTTCCATTCTTTCAAAATGAAAAATGCTTTTAAAAATAAAAATCCACCTTTTGGAGCATAGTGATAATTAGCTTATTTTCACAATGAGCCTTTTTATCCACTTGAATTTGAGGAGAAAGAGGGTGATGTGATTTCTAATTAGAAATATATACTTGGTCTTTGTCCTTTCCTGGCACGGAAATCCTCAGACCCTTGGAATTTCCTGTGATGAGGCATCAAGGTGTATTTTATGTTAATGAGCACCTAGGGATGGAGGCTGGTTGCCAGGGAAACCAACAATGAACAGAACTGGAACTTTCAGCCCCACCCAGACCTCTGGGGAGGGGAGAGGGACTGGAGATTGAGTTCAGGCACCAGTGGCCAATGAGTTAATCAATCATACCCGATGTAATGAATCCTCCATAAAGAAGCCATAGGGCAGGGTTTGGAAAGCCTCCAGGTTAGTCAACACCAGATTTGTGGAGAGTGGGACATCTGGAGAGGGCCTGGAAGCTCTGAGCCCCTTCCCCACTCCTTGCCCTCTGCATCTCTTCCTTCTGGCCGTTCCTGAGTCATAGCCTTTTATAACAAACAGGTGATCTAATAAGCAAACTGTTTTCCTGAGTTCTGTGAGCTACTCTAGAAAGTTAACCTAACCCAGAGGAGGGGGTCAGAAGGACAGGTGACAGCCTGGACTTGCAAGTGGCATCTGCGGAGAGGGGGGCCGTTCTGTAGGACTGAGCCTTTAGCCTGTGGGATGTGTGTGATGCTCCCTCCGGGTAGATGGTGTCTGAATTGAGGTGACTTGTAGGATTCCCAGCTGGTGTCAGAGAATTGCCTGTTGGTGTGGGGAAAACGACCACACACTGGCACTGGGTGCAGAATCATAAACAGGCCTATAACGAGGCCCAATTTGGCAGGAAGTAGCAAGAAAAGAAAAAATGTCAAGGTCATAGCATCACAAAAAGACCAGGTAGATCTAGCACCTTCTCTCTTTTCTTGTTATGTAGCTATGTGTGTATGTATATATGTATGTGTGTATATATATTTTAAATGTCTTTATTGATTTCAGAGAGAGGAAGGGAGAGAGGGAGAGAGAGAAACATCAATGGTGAGAGTCATTGATCGGCTGCCTCCTGCACGCCCCCTGCTGGGGATCGAGACCCAAACCTGGGCATGTGCCCTGACCGGGAATCGAACCCCCATCCCCTGGATCCTAGGTCAGTGCTCAACCACTGAGCCTCGCCGGCCAGGCTCTTGTTATATATTTTTTGTTTGATTGTGTTTTCCTCAGGAAAATGATTTAATTCTCTCAGGCCCCCACAGTACTATTAAGTAGGAACTTAGTTAAAGGAATTGGTATCAGATAAAGCAGCCTTACCCCATATTTGAAAACTCCAATTAGCACTCAGGGGATGATATTGCTTCCATAAGCACTGATTTAGTAAACACTATGCAGGAGGCCTGAAGAGTTTCCCAAGTTTCCATATAAGTCAATCAACACCATACAAGTAGCATCAGAGATGCTAATGGCCAAATATCATAGCAGAGGAAGCACATTTTTAGTCTTGTAGGCAGCTACTTCCACACCCATGTTATCTAGCATCAAGGACTCTGCCAGGGGGCTGCAGGGAGATGTGCAGCGGATTTCACCTTTGAGACAGGGTGGACCAGAGACCCAGTACAGAAAGGCTGCTGGGGGAGAGCAGAGCCGCAGGCCCTGCAGTAGCCTCTTCTCTGCCATATCATGGTGGTTTAGATGCGAAAGAAACGTCCAGGGCACCAACAAATAGCCACTAACTTCCCACAGAGCAGGTAACTTGCTTTCAATTTAAGGGGCTGGGATGAAACAGTGTCTGTGACCTTCAAGGGAAAGCTTGGGGTCAAAGGGATGTGTGCGAGATGTGGGGCCCAAAGTCCCTGCCGTTGCTCAGTCTGAGGCTAGCCTCCCCTCTGTCTGAAAGGGTGCTTCTAGGGTTCATGGCGTCGCACCTCCAGCGCAGTAATCACATTACCGCACCGTGACTGGAACTCGGGAAGTCTGTGTCCGCAACTGACCATCAGCGCCTGGAAGGCAAGGCACCTGGCATTCCTTCTCTGCACCCCGAACCCCTCCCCTGATACGTGGTGCTGACAGCATGTGATTTATGTCAAACTGACATACGGTCTCACTATGAATCACGGCTTCGGGAGGGAAGACAGCTAAGATAGTCAGGACGGGATGAGGGCGGCGGGTGTGGGGTGGGTGGAAGACAGATAAGATTTTTATCTGTTAGAACCAACACATCAGAGATGCTCAGTGGTGGAAAGATGGCTGGTGCAGACGTTTAAAATTAGCTTCTGCTGCCGGTTCCTTAGCAACTCTCTAGCAGAACATTATTGCTTTGAATGTGCACCGCCCAGCGTTTACTTAGACGTCAAAGAGCTAGGAAACGGCCATTGTTAACAGAGGGAAGAAAAAGAAGGGACTCAAAACATCCTTGTCATTGCCCCTGTGCAGGGGAACAAACAGCCAGGCGCTCTGCAGCCCTGCCCTCCTGGGGCGCCCGGTAGGGGTGCCCATCGCTGGCCACAGGCCTAGTGCTCCCCCTCCGGCTTGCCTTTGTTTGCTCACAGGCGACCGCTGCCATTCCTTTTATTAACTGAAGGGGGGTGGGTCGGTGACTCTGTTTTACATCAGGGCAGTGAACTTAAAAACTGCAAGAAAATTCACAGCAGCAGCAGGGTACCCCTTGGATGAGGCAAACCACCTGAAGCTCATACTGGCTGGTGGGAAAATGGGGTGTGTGTATAAAATGCTATTTTTGGATGAAGGGGCAACGTCCCCAAGGACAAAGTGTTGGGGGGAAGTAAAGGCATTGATAATGTTAATGCCTTTCTTTGTGAAGACTATTCCAACTAAGGAAGTAAAAAAAAAAGAACAAAGTATATAAAGATTTAATTGTACCTATGTTTAAACGATGGGATAAGACACAATTTTTAAATATAAAGGGCATCAAATTGCAAGTCAGAGTTCCCACCACCAGTGTACACTGGGTATGTCCTGGACCCCTGCTGTGTCGTGTAGTAACTGTATGTCCCTGGCAAAGACACCCTTAGGTCATTCAGTCCCTCCTCTGTGTGAAAGTCCCCCAATGGCCCTGAAGTAAAAGCTTTCTCGTAATTAACTCTGCCGACTAATATGCAAAGCAAGTAAATCACTTTAGAAATACAAGTTGGTATTCTATATTTCTAGAAACATCTTGATAACACAGGCTTCTGACCTGAACCAGAACCCAAGACCAGAAAATGCACTCATCCAAACCAGAAAGTCACATTTAAAGATACAATCTTCTCCCAGTGATCCCAAACCGGCCTTCTGGCAGCACGTGTTTGCTTCAACACCGGAGACACACCGGCGGGGGGTGGGGGTGGCAGTGAGCGGCCTACCTGCGTGCGTGGGAGGTAGGCCGGCCCCGCAGCTTACCTCTTGAGCTAGGGAAGGAGTTGTTGAGTTGCTCCATCACTTCCTCTAAGCCTGTGCTTGTGTCCTGGGGGGCACTGAGGAGGTCTTCCTCACCTTAATGAAAGCCAAAAGACAACGGGCAGTTACACTTAAGGAAAAAATGAGATGCCAGAGGGAAGGTCCGCGATCACAGCTAAAAATCCCACCGAAAGTCATTTGCATTTGCTCGTAAGTAATATAAAGAAAAATAACCCTTCAAGCTTACTAATTAGGGAACAGCCCCTTAAAGAGAATTCCACGCAGGAATTTATCTACGTCGTTATCTTCAGAGAAGAAAACTGTGTGTCTATTTAAAAGTGTAAGATCAGCCTGGCTGGGGTGGCTCAGTGGTTGAGCTTCGACCTAGGATCCAGGAGATCACGGTTCGATTCCCGGTCAGGGCACAGGCCCGGGTTGCGGGCTCCATCCCCAGCAGAGGGCGTGCGGGAGGCAGCCGGTCAATGCCTCATCACTGATGTTTCTATCTCTCTCTTTTCCTCTCTAAAATCAGTAAAACATATATTAAAAAAAAAAAAAAGTTAAGATCAAGTTGCCATAAGTTTCTTGTCCCCTATTAACAAATGTGAGATATTTTTCTTTGTAAAAAAAAAAATTATTATTGGACACTTGCAGTGTCTTTTCAACCCAGAAGAAAATAAGACTGTGACATTTTGCATTTATGAAGGTAAGAAAAGAGTAGACACACTCCGGTATTTCCCCCACTTTTTCCTTTGACATTTAACCAAAAATACAAACAAAACGCAAATACCTTTAAAGTCCAATGTAACATGGCGAAATGAAAGCTGTATGTGACCTATATAGGCGATGAAATATTAATATTCTAAGGACTGTGGATATGGGGTATAGTGGGGAGCTACGTTCCTTTCCTCTTTGTGACGTGGGGCTACTCTATCATAATGTTTTTGGAGGCTAATAAGGGGAAACATTTTCTTTTAAGTTTTCAGAATTTGTTTATGTGAGGAGATGATGATGGTGTGGAAGGCAAGAAATTTAGGGCTGGCTGGCGTTCCTCTGGGCATGAGTCCCCTTGTAGGTTTCGTTGATCTGTGTGGCTCCTGTTTAATCACGTTAAAGAAATACACCTCACACAGCATTTCAGTAAGGGAGACATTTCTTAAGTGTAAACAGTTATTCTGAACTCTGAAGGCCCTTGGAAACGGATTTTTCATAACATTCCGTCTTCTAGTAGTGAAAAGAACTTCTTTTCCATCTTAATTTGTTCAGCATATTGTCACTTCCACCTAAAAGGAGACCTTGCTTAAGCAAATCAACACTAATGGACATACTTAAGGAAACCTCAGGTTCACATCTGATGTGGAAAGGGCTGGAGAGCCAGTGAAAAGGAATTAAACATTGCTATTTATAAGGTCTCTGCCACTTGAATTTTCATCTGTGATTATAACCCTGCATTTATTGTTCAGTTTTCATCCTTCAAAGGAATGCTTGGCAGTGCTCACTATTAAGACAAAAATCATATCCCAGGTGGATGTGGACTGTATACCCTTATTAGGATGGAGAATTAAGGACCCGGGGTAGACAAAAACCCTCTGCTCTTGTGAGGCTCCTGGTAATGCATCGTAGGAAACCTCTTTGAAATACAAGGATAGGAAATGAGTGAACAATTCAGGCCCCAAGGTGGAAAAGGCGGTTACAGTGTCTGTCTGTCTGTCTATCTATCTATCTATCATCATCATCTCCCTTTCTCTCTCTACCTACTCACCCCCGGGCCTATATTTATGTTTTTAGAAATGAAAATGCTGAAATTCAGCATCTTGAGTCCTGACACCTGCAGGGCTGACTACCTCTCTTTGTTCCATTACCGATGCACATCTTCACCCAATTGTGGAACATGAGGCATTTTTCATGGCACCCGGTCCCCGTGAGTGATAGTATGCCTCACGGAATACATCCGAACCAACAGACACTCATCAGCAATGATGTCAATATGTCTGACAGTTTAAAAGTCTCAAGTATAAGCGCCCAAGTACAATTGTAAAACTGGTTTGTATGTTTTAATGGAAAACTTTCATGGCGGCAGTAAGTGTGCCCATTTGAACATTTTTGAGCGCCTATTACATCCGAGGTAGTACATGCACAGATGAAGTGTAATCCTGCTTTCTTCTTTTTCTCAAGATTTTTTTCAGTAAGTAAAAAAGATTCTTTGGGTTTAACTAATCTCCTTTTAAGAATCAAAATCAGATTTATTACATATATGCATGAGTAAAGGTGAATCAACACACTGAAAATGCTTAAACCCTAATATTTTCTGGGTCACATTATACTGGAAGAGTTAAAACAGATTTTAAAAACAGATTTTATTTTTTAAATTTAGCTTTATTATTGAAAGTATTACAGATAGATTTTAAATGTCTAAAAAAGGTCATAAAAATTTAAAACAGTAAGGTTAGTTTATTATTCAAATACTATTAAAAGTCAGCTATGTGCCAGGCAGTGTTCTAAGTGCTGGAGTCATAGCAATAAACAACCCCAAAGCCCTGTTTCCACGGAACTCACATACTTAGGTCCGCACACGGGCTAAACAAACACATAAGTCAACTATGTAGGTATGGCAGGTGATGGTGAACAGTCAGAAGAGAGGGTTAGTGAGGAGGAATTTTCAGAAAGGGGAGCCTTAGAAGCCCTCACTGATGAGGTCGAGTTGAGCAAAATCCTTAAGGGCGCGAGGGTGTGGAGCATGCTGATAGCTGAGGGGGGGCATCAGACGGGAACAGCAAGTGCCCGCTCAGACACGGTCCTGCTAAGGGCCAAGGGGTTTCAGGCACAGTCAGTGGCAATTCTTTTAGCATTAACACCTCTATTCCAAGGTGAGTCCCATAAATGTGCATAAAAATCCTTTTCGGGTTATTAGCTATAGTTGTCATTGGCTTGCCTGAAGGTGGTCCAAAAAATGACTGAAACCTTTTTTTAAAGGAATGTTTTAAAATAAGGAAAGACACAATCCAAGTTAAAATATACCCTGATACAGCATAATATGACAGACACTGCGGGAGTGAAAACGAAGTGAAATGACTCCAAGCTAATCTGGGAAAAAAGAAAGGGAATAGTTTGCTATGGGCAAGATAGATTTTTTAAAGTCTTCTGAAACTCAGCACGATTTTAGGCTTTCTTGAAAGGATGATATCCTTTCCATATGACTCACTTCCCTTTCCTCAATTCAAATGATTTTCCTACTTGCGTAAGAACTGACTTGAGCTAGAACCTGTGCAGCCGGTGCAGGAGAGACCCAAGAAACCTTATTCCTGCACTGCCGCTTACACCCCAGCCAACTATTTCCTCTTTATACACGAGGGAACCGTGTACTCGGCAAAGTATTTCCTCTTAAAGAGGGTGCTGTGTATGAGCAAATATGCCCACCACTATTTTTATTTGGATTACTTAAATCACATACAGTGCTGGTAACCAATTTCCAACCTGATGTGTGATTACCTCATGGCTTGTATCTTTCCTGCCTTTCTTCAGTTTTTCAGAAGGAAAACGGATTTATCTAGTACCTGATATTAGCTTCAATTACTTTTTTAAATTATATTTAGGGTAGATGGTTTCAATTTTACATAAAAATGCTGTGTGTAAGTTCTTTAATTCTGGTATACAATGATGATAACTGATTGTTAGCCAGTCGGTGTTCAATGGTGGTGAAAGATAATAAAATTAGTAGCTAATATTTATGTCCTTGTGGTTGTGATTTGCATTTCCCTGATGACTGGTGATGTTAAGTACCTTTTCATGTGTCTGTTGGCCAAGTCTACTGCTTCCTTGGAAAAATGTCTATTCAGATCTTCTGCTCATTTTTGAATCAAGTTTTTTTTTTTTCTATTGACTTGTATGAATTTATTTACATATTTTGGATATCAGCCCCTAATCAGATATATCATTTGCAGATCCTTTATATCCCATTCCATAGGTTGCCTTTTCATTTTGTTGGTGGTTTCCTTTGCAGTAACAGAGCTTTTTATTTGATGTAGTTACACTTATTTTTGCTTTTGTTGCCTTTGCTTTTGATGTCAACTCCAAAAACCCAGCAAGACTGATATCAAGGAGCTTACTGCCCATGTTTTCTCCCAGGGGTTTTATGGTTCAGGTCTTATATTCAAGCCTCTAATTCACTTTGAGCTGATTTTTCTGTACAGTATAAGATAGTGGTCTACTTTCTTTTGCACGTGGATATCCAGTGTTCCCAACACCACTGACTGACGAAACTATCCCTTTCCCACGGTATATTGTTGGCAACTTTGCTATAAATAGGCTATATATGCATGGATTTATTTCTGGGCTCTATTCTGTTCTGTTTATATATGAGTCTGTTTTTATGCTAATAACATCTTGTTTTGACTGTTATGGCTTTGTAATATAGTTTGAAATCAGGAAACATGATGCCTCCAGCTTTGGTCTTCTTTCTCAAGACTGCTTTAGCTGTTCAGGGTCTTTTGCAGTCATGTTTGAAGGCAGTAAAAAATTGGGTTGCAGAGGAAGGTGGATTTTGAATACCATGCTAAGGAGTATGAACTTTATTCTGTAGGCAAACAGGAGCCACAAACATATTTAAGGAGAGTAAGAACATACAATCTGAATGCTAGGAGATTAACTGGAAACATCTGAAAGATGGCTTGAAAAGGGGGAGAGACCAAAAGCAGAGAAACCAATTAAGAGAGTATTCACATTGTCTGTTCAGCTGATCACATGATGAAGGCTACATTTGGGCAGAAGGCCTGTACTGAAGGGATTTGCTCTTTTTAAGACATGTAAAACAGACTGGCCTTGGTGATTCGATTGATGGTGGTAGGACTTGGTTAAAGAAAGGAAAGGGTTGGTATTAAAGGTGATGGATATGTTTAGTACCTGCTTATGGTGATCATATATCATGGGGTGTATGTATATGGCCAAGCTCATCCAGATGTTTATATTAAATGTGTGCCATTTTTGCATATCAATTATACTTGAAGGACTCTAAAAAGTAAAATGAAGGTAGATAAAGGGAGAAAGTGGGAAGTGACTCCCTTTGTGTAGTTTGGGAAATTGGATGAGATGTTCTGGAGGTTGACCAGGATTTCAGATTGGGTTATACTTTTATCCAGAAGACACTCAGGAGAGAGGCCTGGCAATTTGGGCTTATGATTATCAACATGGCAGAGGCCAAGGAATGGAAGTAGTACCCAGAAAGAGTGGAGGGGATGGAGAGAGAATGTTAGGAAAGCCTTTAGGTGATGCACTGAGAAAGGTACCACATCACCGATGTGGTAATTGGGCATAAAATATTTAACTTTAATGCAGACAGATGCAAATTGAGGAACATTCTACAGAACAACTGGCTTGACCTCTTCTAAAATGTCAGCGTCATGAAAAATGTAGAGAGGCTGGGGAAGTGTTCTAGATTAAAGGAGACTGAAGAGACATGGTAACTAAATGCACACCATGACCCTTGACTGGATCCTGAACGAAAAAAGCAAAAAGCTATATAGGCAGAACTGGAGCTATTTGAATTTAAATTATATATTAGATAATAGTATTGTATCAGTGTTAATTTCCTGAATGTGATAATTATATTGTAGCTATGTAAGAGAGTATCTTTTATCTTGGAAGATACATGTTGAAGGATTTAGGGGTAAAGTGTCATTATGTATGAAACATATAATCATTAAATGTGCACATAAAATAAAAATATATACAGTCTACATGAAGATGTTAACTATAGACATGCAAAAATAGATGTGACTATAAATAAATAAAGCAAATGTGGCAAAATGTTGAATTAACTGCCATTCTGCCGTAAGTTTGAAATTCTTCTAAATCAAAAGCTAAGGAGTCATTAGACATAAGGAGTCGTTAGGAAGTCCTAGGCTCCTGTGTGAAGCTCATGGAAGCCAAGAGAACATAACTGTTCATTTCTATTTCTTTGTCTTTCCCAATGGAACGTAAGCTTCATTAGGACACTCTCCCAGTAAAAAAAAGTTTAAGCACACATCTGGTACACAGAGACTTACCAGCGATAAGTACTGCATGCTTCGAGGAAGCACTCCACTCTTTAGACAGGTCACCTAGTATGGACTCACTCGTATTTTACTTTAAAAAGGCATTGGGGTTGTGTATTGAAAGAATGCAACTCTATCCAAAATATGGTTTAGCAAACCCCAGCCTTACACACAGACCTTCAAAGCATGAGGATACCCATTGCATCTGTTTAAATACCCATGCGCATCCTTCAAGAAGATGGTTGGGTTTTTTTCTTCTTAAATGAAGTTGGCTTATATAGTTTAAAAAAAAAAAAATCTCCCTTGAATTCAGTCAGTTCTTTCAGAGGACAAACTTAACAACAGGGCCTATCCACTTGATATTGGCAAGTTATCTCCTAGCCTCTCTCAGCCCCCGGAACCTAGCACTTTTGTCCTTGGATTCGGTCCTGCCCCGATCCTCTCGGCTCCGCAAATCATGAGGACCACAGCCTGATGTGTCCTTTACCTTGGGTGCTGTCACGGGCACGCTGCCTCTGCCAGGGTTGACAGGCCTGAATAATTAATGCTTCCGAGCGCACGGAGCTCTGAGTCTCACGGCTAAATTATGCGCCTCGCTTTCACTGCTTTGCTTACTTCAAAAAAAAAGGGGAAAACCCTGCAGTAGGAAACAGCAGCGGCGGTCCTAACACTCGGTTGTTTTTGGAATTTAGAGAGTTTTCAAAGGCATACATATTTTTTCATATGCTGACTGATCTTTTACAGTCCCAACGGTCCGCTAGCTATATTCGGATCCCATGTGGAGACAGAGAATCTCATGCAGAGACTGCCCTAAATTACGAAGGTGTGGGAAAGCCAGGAAAACAACGTCAAACATTTTCTATCCCTTCCCAGTGCTTTGCCCAGGAACGACATTAGATAACTCAGATTGGAACCTCTCGGCAACCAGTTCACCCTTTCCGGACCTTAAGACAGAACAAAATCCAGGAGTAGCTCAGACAGACACTTACCCATGGATTCTGAAGTTTGACTGCCAACCACCCGGAGCAGCATAGGCTGGCTGCTGTCTGACCTCTGAAGAGAGGTAGAAGGAGATGAGACAGATGTGCCATTCACCTTGGCCTCTGCTTGGGGCTACGGCATCCACAAGAAAACAGAATTATTTTTCATCGTAAACACTCACATATCAATATAAAACCATTACAGACATTCAGGACTCAGACATTATGACCTTTCCCACTTAGAAGCCTCCCAAAGATTGTTCAGTTCGGGAAATTTCACTATTGATGAGCCATGAATACTGTCTCTGTGTCTGAATTGTGCCCCCTTAGATGCTTGAAAAGATTACAGCGACTGTGGAACAAGATATATAAAATCATTAGACTAAATAACTAAAAGATTTAGAGGGTCATGTGAGAATGGTGAAACCATGTGCGACCACAAAAATGTCCTGGAGAATTCCTATTTGGGGGAAATATTAAGTAGCAAGATAGAACATATCCCCAAATTTAAAACTCCCGGAAAGCCCGGACTATGTAAAGGTCGGGCCTACTACAATGCAGTATCTTACTAGGTTTTCAGTGGAGGCTTAAAAAGTTGTATTTTAGAAAACGTAAGAAAAAACCCAAAGGTATACCAGCAAATACAGCAATGCCAATGGCTGAAAAGAGAGTTCCATTTCCAGATGGAACATTTTCACTTTTAGAAAACCAGCGGAAACCTTTGGGTGTTTTTTTAAAAGATAAATTTTAAATCAGTCAAATAAGAAACATTTTTGTAGAAAACGACCCTGAACAAATATTAACAAACACACTAGCTTTGCCCCTCATATCCCTTGCTATCTAGCTCTCTGCTAGGCACATACTAGGCACTCAACAAATCGATGCTTAATTGCACTTCTAAAAAAGGGGTTCTGATTTTCAGCTCCGCTGAAGAGGGGAAAAGTGCAATTGTGTAAATGTCCCAAGGCAGACGTGGGCTCACTTGCTCCAGCAGCTGCCTGAGCCTGTGTAACTGGGACTCCAGCTGCTTATTGTGGTCCTCCAGGATCTGCATCCTGGCCTCCAGGCGGCCTTTGTGTTGGCGCAGGAGCTTGGCCTCAGCGATGAGCTCGGCGTCGCGGGGGCTCTGAGGAGAGGTGGGCATCATTTCAGGAGGAGACGGCAGTGGGGACAGGCCTTTGTGTTCATGCTGCTGCTTCAGACGGTCGTATTCTGCTTGCAGATTTCTGTTGGCATCAGAGAAGTCAAAAAGAAAAAAGAGAGACAAGGGGGGGGGAAGTAAGTTCAATATCACCACCAGGTTTCATATAAAGTGGCAGAGAGATGCACCTGACCGCCACCAAACACAAGAGCAAGCAGAAGAGGGGCACTTAATGAATGGATTTTATGATGCCGACCTTAAGCAGCGCTAAACAACCAAAATGGAACTGGAAGCGTGTGCCCCGCGTGTGAGGGGAGATGCTTTTCAATCTTTCATTTCCTGCTACGTTCAGACAAGTCAGCAGCAAAAAATTGAACCATTTTGCAAATACTTCTTTATAATGTCATGAGATTACCATTTCTATACCTCTATCAGCACTTTGGGTTGCATAAAAAAAAATCATCAACTATTTTCAGTCACAATGTGTAAGAGCATAGTAAGAGTGTACCCATGCACCCAGCACGCTGCCTCAATACATTTAACATTTGCCATATATTTTTTTCAAAATTTCTTTTCAAGCAATAAAATACGACAGTTACAGTCGAAGCTCCCCCACACGCCCTGGTCAGCACCAGATCAGTCCCTCCTCACCGTCACCCCATCCTGAATTCCGTGTCCACCATCACCACGAGCGTAGCCACAAATATTAGGATGAACTTTATCAAGATGCTGATATTCGGCTGTTTTTTCACCTACAAAAATGGCCATTTTACGTAATTCAATGCAACAGCATTATTTTTCACGTTCTTAAACTTCAGGTTTAAGAACTGAATGTTGAAGCATGTACATACCATTCTAAGAGTTGCTTTTTGGCCTTCAACACCGTTTTGGAGAATTATCCGTGTTGATACATAACAGCTCGCGATTTTAAGTGCTGTAAGGTATTATTCTGCAGCTGGAATGTGCCAACGACATTCTCCTGTCAGTGGACATTTCAGTTTCCAACTTTTCACAATTACAAACCATGATGTGATGCAATTCCTTCTACCTGTCTCCTCGGGCACCTGTTTAAGAGATTCTTTACAGAACACAGCTGGACGGGGACCTGGGGGCTCTAGCAACAGAAACACTGCCACACGTTACCAAATCGCTCTCCTAAGTGGTTTTAGCAATTTACTCTCTTACCAGCAGCGAACGAGGTTTTCCATTAAGCGAGATTTCCATCAAGTACTTGAGGTTACCGGACACTTAAGCATTGGCCAAGCCGGTGGGCGCATTTTAATTTGTACCTCCCTGATTACCAGTGAGGCTGAACATCTTTTCTGTTAATTGGCTTTTCGTGTTTCCTTTACCCGTTTCCCCACTGGATGGTCTTTTTCTTATTAAAATTCTGGGCGCTTATGGTTTTGCCAGCTATGGGCACAACAAATATCATCTCCTACCCGTATCCCTGTGTCGCTCACCTTTAACTTTGCTCATGGCATCCTGTTGTCCAACACTTAAATTTCAATACACTACTCCGTGTTTTCTGCTCCTTCTGTTTTGCTTAAGGAAATCTTCCTCACACTCACACTTTAAAGTTTAACATTTTGTTCACATTTAGGCCTTGACGCAGAATCTTGTGTGCTTGGGGTAAACATACGATCTACTTTTACTGCCCCCCCCCATAACTCAGTGGGCCAGCCCCGTTCATTGCACAGTTCTTTCCCTATGACTTCTAACGGTAGCTCAGCAATACGTCGAGTCCATAAATACACCAGTGTGCTTCTGAGCTCTCTATGCCATTGCATTGGTCTCTTTGTCCCCTCCCCGTGCAGGTGCCACACCACAATTCAAATAAGTTAGGGTCTGGTAGACCCTCCCATTCCCACACTGTTCTGCCTTAAAAATGTCTTGGCTCAAAATTAAAAAAAATGTCTTGGCTCTTCTGACCCCCCTTTGATCTTCCCTATGATTTCAGTGTCCCCTTTTAATCTGAAAATTCTTGGTGAAATTTGGGATTTGAATTACACTGAACTTATCGCTCGAACTGGGAAGGGCAGCCTTCATGTTTCTGAGTTTTCACGTCCATTGATAATGTGGTGCAATTTACTGGGCCTTTTCCTCGGGCTTTGCAGGTTGAATGCTTAAATCATTATTTATTTTTAATTTTTAGGCTTTTTAATAAATACATTTAGGGTTACAGATTTCCTTCTTTAAATTGCTGGGAATAGAATTCTCATTGAGGATACCTTTGCTATTTGATACCTGGTGACTGATTAGAACTCTTTGATATCTCTTCTCCAGTTACAATAAATACCAAAATAAGATGACAGATTTCTGTTGTTCTTAGATGATATTTCATCAGGCGGGAGATGTATAGCTATGAGAAAAGACATGAGATGCAAATGAGGCAAGAAGAGTTCTCCCATTGTCCACCTGGAGAAAGTAAGATAATCTCATGATCAAGTTTCCTGTTAGGAAAATATTTCCTGTTCAGTATCTGGGCAGGGGATAGCATGTATTCCAAAATGCTCAGTTTCAAAAGATGGGATCCCCACATTAAAGAAGAAATAAAATCCAACCTATTCTTTTTTTAAAAAAGTTCTACCCTATATCTACCATTACAAGTTTTCTAGGAATTTATCTGTCTTGATTGAAATCCCGTCAGTTTTCAACCTTCAAGGACAGTTGTGCGTGCAGTCTGTTTCACAGCAGTCTGCTTTGACAAAGCAGTAATGAGTAGAGATTTATCGAAATAAGTTTACCCTCAGCCAGATTCTGCATATCGGCCCTCTGGGTGTGAGCCAAGGTATGTGGTAGTCCACATTAGTTAAATCCAATCTCTGACCACTGAACTGACAATCGTCTAAATGTTTCTGTGAACTTGAAGCAGCATCCAGTGTTCACAAGGTTTCACCTGACAGCAATTATCTTCTATTTTTCCCCCTTGTAGTAGCACTAAAAGAAATTCACCTTCACTGAAATGTCCCAACTGGTAACACCTTTTCACGTCGAGTCCCATTCAGGATTCTTCTTTATACTATATTGGGTCATCCACAATGTTCTTTTTGAAAACATTGTGATACTATTCTGAAGTCCACGTCTAAAAACAAGTGATTACTATCTTGCCACCTACTTTTCACAAAGGTACTGACATTTTTTAGACAGGTCTTCCTTGGTATCTTGATCCTCTGGGTCTAGTTGTCTACAGATCTCTCCTTTAATGAGTTATTTATGAGTGCCTTTGTTCGGAAAACATGGTTTAGTATATACAACACATTACATTTCAGTTTTTATGTTTTCCCGTGAAAAACAGAAAAGGTCATTTGAATCAGCCAGGGCTTCCCAAAGCTGAGCTGTAAAGAATACCAATTGCTCCTAAGTAGAGCCTTTCTTGACTTTCCAGATGTTTAAAATTTCTCTCGGGAGACCATTTCCTTAAAAACTCACATCCTTCTTCGGTTCTGGCAGATTTTCTGCTATTATAGCTTCAAACATTGCTTCTCTGCCATTTCATCAATTCTCTTCTTCTGAGACTTCTATTACGTATATGTTAGAGCCTTGTGGTCAATTCCCCATCTCTTTTAATTGCTCGTTTATATTTCTTATCTTTTTCTCTTAGCGCTGTGTACAGCGAAGTCCTCAGAATCATCTTTTAATTCCCTTATCTTCTGTGACTGGGTCCACTCTAGAATTTATCCTGTCTATTGAGTTTTGTAGTTTCAATTGTGATAGTTTTTATTTCCAATGATGTCTTTTCCAGATCCATCTGTTCATCTATTTGTTTCTTAGTTTCTTGTTATTTTAAAATAAACAGTGTTTTTATGTCTTTGAGCATCCTAAATGTACCTATAAGCAACCCCTGTCATACAGTTCTATCATTTGACTTTCATCTACGCTTAATTCATCTTTTGATGGTCAGTTTGGAGGGACTATCTCACCTCGTAATATGTTTTGGATTTTGGTTTGAAGACACATCTGAAAGGGATGGAGTGTGTGTGTTTTCGTCTCCTGCTGAACTCATCTCTCTCTGTCAAGTGGTTTTATGGTGGTTACTATCTGCCACTCACAGGCCTGTAGTCTGTAAGAGCTACGAGATCTTATATTGGTAATCTGCAGCAGCCACACTGAATGATATGCGTGCAACGACTGCGAATTTCATCACCAGGCAGCATGGTTCATGTCCTGGTATTAAGGCTCTGATGCTCCTTCCCAACTGCACTCCCTACCTGTTCCCCAGGCTCTACACATTAGGTCCATGGCTCCACATAAGCTGTAGTCCCGTGCAGCAGTCCAAACTGTCCTTCGGCCTTTTTTCAATTTCCTTTCAAGTGTAAGTATGCCTGTGTGTGTGTCTCTCCGGGTGTGTTTTTGCAGGGCCCTGATTTCAAATGTCTAGCTCTGGGCCCCCATCTTGTGAGGAGAATTGTAATTCCTGTTATGGCAGCAGGAGCTGAAAGCCCACTATGCCCCACACGCTGCTCACTGTGCCCTGTACTGCCCCCCCCCATTTTTGGTTAAAGACCAGTTATGTCTTTTTTCATTTCTGTGTCACTCCATATAGTATCTACCACTGGATAAATGGTAGGAGCTAAGAAAGATGCCTTAAAGCCAGAGCTAATAGGATCTGGATCAGAAGCCTACCAGGACATGCTGATTTTGGAGATGTGTCAATGTTCCCCCAGTACTAAATTCATCAGGACAGGATTAAATGAGCCAAACAAGTACTTTTCTCGTAAACAAATATGTGACATACCTAAGCTTTCTATTAAACTTAAACACAAATTTGATTTCGAAGGACTAATTTTTCCTCCTGAAGCTCTGAGGCCAAAAGTTTGAAAAGCCAGGAATAGTTCAAAAAAGGTATCTTGGCCAGAAACCAAGTACAATACAAAGTTCTTTCATTTGAGTCTAAATTCTTGTTTACAGGTATTTACAAATGTTCACAAAAATGACCAAGAACAATTGATGTTCAAGGGATTGAATTAGAATTTTACTAAATGTCTCCTAGTAAACGTGGTTATGGTTACAGAGCTGTGCTAGGGCATATTTTTGTTAGGGGCTGGGAAATTAAGCCATTTAGCCCTTATAAACTAAGTCATT